GAAATCTTTAAAAAACTTCTTTTTTATATATAAAATTTCTTTAAAAAAAATCAATTTTTTTTAAAGAAATTTTATATGTAAAAAAAAAGTTTTTTAAAGTTTTCTCAAAAACTACCAAACCAATTTTAATATCCTTTCAGTATTAAATACATTTTGATAAGCTCTACAACTTTGGTTATAAGCTGAAGAGTAATTTACTTAGTATAAAAAAAAAGTTTTAGATAGAGATGCTGTGTATTTACACTTATAGTAAAGTTTATATAAAAAAATTTTTTTTGTTCAGATATCTGGTAAATTGCCTATTAAAGAAGTTTATATAATTAAAAAAAAGTTTTTTAAAGATATCTTGGTATCTACTAGGCCAATTTGAATGATTTAACTACTATTAGAACTGCAAAGACGAGTTCTACAACTTTCAATTAAATGACAAAATCAATTAGGGGCATGCTATTTATCATGTAATATTTTTTACTTAGTAGCCACTCCTATCCATATATGGTGTAATCACTTTGATTAGTTAATATTATATATAGATGTGATTACTACCTTTGACTATGTATCTATAGTAAAAATTACATGATAAATGGTATGCCCCTTAACTTAATACAAAAAAAAAGTTTTCTTTAGAAAAATGTTAGAAATTTATAGTAAATTGCATCACATTACACTATAATTATTCTTCTGTTGAGTAGTGAATTATCAATTAAAATAATTAAAAATTATATATATTTTACTATATATAGTAATTTAGTTACTTTTTTTTTAAAAAAAAAATTTGGCAATCCTGCCTTTATTGTATTAGAAGTGCATAATCAAAATACATGGTTTCTGAACAAAAAGCCTGCAATAAACTCAATACTAGGGTTCCTCAAAGTCAAATCGAATCGAATATTTTGTCAATTTGAATTTGATTTGATTTGAAATTTCTGTATTTGAATTTGATTTGATCAAATCAAATTCAAATCAAATCAAATTTATTTGTAATTTTTATTAAGTATTTTCAAATCGAATCGAATATTTTATCAATTTGAATTTGATTTGATTTGAAATTTCTATATTTTAATTTGATTTGAGATCAAATATTTGATCAAATCAAATCAAATCAAATCGAATTGCGGAACCCTACTCAATACTTTCTACTCTCCTACTCTTCAATAAAAACTCACTCGGCTGCTCATAATAGTGCCAAGTGCAATCTGCTGCAGCAATAATTCACTCCTCTCTGGCATCTAACTTACTACATGACTCTCTGAAAAAATCACTAAAAGCTTATTGCTAGCTTTGTCAAGATTGCCTTTTTCTTAACATTTTTTCTTTTTCAAAGAGGTATATAACAAATAGGGATAAGAAAACAAAAAATACAAATAAAACAAAAACAACAAAAACAAAAGGAAAAAAGAAAAAATAAAAAAGAATATAGAAAAAGAAAACAAATACAAAAGAGAATATAAAAAAAAAATTACAAAGAAAAAAAAACAAAAAGGATAGTAGAAAATTCTGTCTTTTTAGCACTACTATTACCTATGCTAGGCTAAAAAAAAATTATATAACAAATACGATATTTGTATATCTTTAGTGTAAAGCTTCACCTTAACAAATAAATTTTCTGACTAAATTATCTGAACTTCTAAATGACATAAGTAGCCAATCTTGGTATTACATGAAGTAGCACGGTCTATAAACAAAACAAACCAGACATGTGATCGCAGTCTGCTGCAACTGTCCAGATTTGAAAGATATAAACAATGCTGATTTTTTGAAAGGAGTAAGTAAGCTGTTTTGCCTACTTTTGTAGGAAATTTTGAAAAAGCAGCAAGGAGGCAGAGAAAAGAAACAAAACTACTTTGTTTTGTTTAATAAAAGAGTGTGTATTTTTTTTATTCAACACACTGAATCTATAGAAAGGTGCTAGTACTCCTTTTATTTTTTCAGGTAAGTGATAAACTTTAGGCTTGTTAGCAAATAGTGTATAAGAACTATTTCTAAACGACAAGTACTCAACCCTTGCAGTAAGTGATAAACTCTAAGGAAGTTAGCAAGTAGCATATGAGAACTATCAACACCAAGTTACAAAGCTTAAAAACTACTTCCCAGACTGTTTCTACCTTTACAAATACTTGTATTTTTTAAGAATTTTGGATTTTTGTAGAAAAAAAGTAATTATCAAAAAGAGTTATGTTGTTTATTGAGTAATTTGATTACTATATTTAGTAAGTAAAGTTAATTAAATAATAAATTTTTATTTTTTTTTATTTAAATTTTTTTTTTAGTTTTTTTTAAATCTTCCATCTTTATTATTTTGAGAGAAAGACTATTGATTGGATATATTTGGGACAGAGTTTGTCTTTAGAGTCGATAAGAGAGAAGTTGGGTTTATATTAGATAAGGTGGATCGATTTTTTTTTGCCACTTTTGAAGTGGCGCCGCAAGGCTTGTAACTCTGTTGATATCCAGAAATAGTTGACTAGAATAGCCACGAGGGAGTTAAGGACTGGGTGGAAGAGTTGTTGCGATTCATGTTAACCAGAAAAATGTCTTTTAAAAAAATAATATGTTTTCTTGCGGTTGCCTTATTTTCACATTGGTAGGTGATCGTTCTGACTAGAACTACAGTAATAGATCAGATATTTTGGTTGATCATGCCAGTTTTGTTGGAGAAATATTTGTTGTTTGTATCATGTTTTTTTTGTCCAGAAATTGGATAGTTCTCTGTCATCAACCTTTTCTTCTATGTAGAATTCAAGAGACAAATCACTACCGGTATTTTGAACTGTTTGGATTGTTATACCAACAATAGTTATATATATATCTAATGCAGGCATGTCTTCGTAGTCAAGATCTAATACTTTAATCGACATTGCACTAACCTTATAAATTTAAAAAAAAAAAGAAATTAGATTTATTATTAAAGTTAAAAAAAAATAGAATAAAGTTTGAATTTTCGGAAATATGTTGTAATTTTTATAATACATATATTAAAAGAAGGCACTATAATTTTATAATATGTATATATACATATATATATAATAGTATTATATATATATATATCAGATATATATTTTTTGTATATATCAGATATATTATACATATACGTATATATTAAATATATATTAGTACGTATAATAAAAAATAAAATTGACGATTAGGGTAATAAATTTTATTATACATATTATTTAAACATCTGGAAAAAATTTGGTCATAGTTAACTCTGAATAGAACAGACTAATAGTTTTTTTTGAGAAAAAAAAAAGTTACGTATTACTGTTTTCTTAGTTTTTCTACATTTAGCATCTATAAAAAAATTTTTAATTTATTCTATTTAGAGTTCTAGAGATTCTAGAGTTGACTATACTTAATCCTAACTTTATTTATTAGGAGAAAAAAAAGAATACAATACTGTATAGTAGTAGAGAACTTTCTTTAATGATTACTGGATACAAAAATTCACAGACAGAAAAAACAACAATACGAAGTAAAACCAATACTATTACACAATTTTTAGAGCAGAAAAGCAAAATAAACTCTATAGTCTAGGTGATAAAGTAGTTAAACAACACTAGCTGTGAGAAAGACCCAAAATCAAACAGTACAAACAAACTATTGATAAACGTACAAAAGTAATAAAAATTTAGAAGAGAGGAAAATAACTGTTTTAAAACAATAAAAGACAGACACAGGGCATAGAAACAAGCTGACACAAGCAGTAAGATGCGAAACACCCTCTAGAACCAAATCTCACCTAGCAAAAAAGAAAAGTGGGAATTCGTTATTAACTCTGTACTGCAGATCTTTTGTGAAATATAAGTCTATTCAGTAATACAAAAGGAACAGAATTTTAAATGATACAGAAAACATGTAAAAACATGTAAAAACACGTAAAGTAGACATATAACATGTAATAAACTAAGCCACGAGATTTCCAAATAAACGATACAGAATAGCAAATCTAGAGGATTTTAGAGGTTTTTTTAAACAAACAGAGAGAGAAAGAAGTGTCTTATATGACAAACAGCATGCAACAATATAAAATGAAGATGTACACATAGCAGAATATCTCAGTACAAGTGACATTCACTTAATTGCAGTTGTATACAACTAGTGTTTCTATGAACCGAACTGAAACCGAACTTTGGTCAAGTTCAGGTTCAGGTTCAGTTCAATCATGTTCAATA